ACCTATCTGCCATTTTATCCTTTTTCTTCTTCTGGATTTTCCCCTTCATGCAGCATGTACGATGGGATCTTTCACCCTGAGAAACCACACAAATGACACTTCCAGTTGGTACCATATTTCAGTAAGAGCGCCGTCCTTTACTCGCTTTAAAGGTATATTTATCAGATATCTAGCTAATAGAATTTATTGCATCTGCGCAAGCATTTGGCGTGACAGGGAGTAACTAAATATACCTAAAAATAAGTACTTAGCGAAATTCCCTTTAAAAAAAAAAGGTTTATTTAGAAATAAATAAAGGAAAAAACTGAAATTATGGGAGTTTGGCTTTACTTTTTTAAGGTCATCAGTGTGAAGGGGTTAAAGCACACACTGATGAGCAGCTTAACTACAAACAACAAAGAGAGAACTTACAGGTGAGGGTGTTTCACAGACAATACATCTGCTGATGTATGGCCTGATATCCTCTCCCTTGACTGGCTGCATCATGTTGGTCATAGGTTGTGGTGTGCTCAGCCAGTAGCTGTAATCCGAGCGAGATGCCACGTTGCAGACATTGTTAATATTGCAGAAGAGGAAAGGCATTGTATGAAAGCGTCGCAAACAGGAGCCTGCCGTACCTGAAAGATATATAATTGAAAGCAAAATATGAAATCAGAATGAAGATATAAACAAGTTTTGACTGTAAAGATAATGCTGAAACCATAGCAGATGCTGTTTAATGGTGAAAAATATCAGATATTCATATGTATTAGTTTAACCCAGAGAAGCCGAAAAACGGACTCTCGGTTGGGTGCAGTTCCCTATAAATTTTACTTTTCCGACATGCCTATCGTGATCTGTTTAAGAGATGTATAGTTAATGCAACTTACTGAGTTTGTGCCTACGCTAATGTTTAAGAGGTCCTTTACCAAAAGAGCTTTTTTTGAAACCAAGACGACGTCAGATTTTTCCATAAGTCATGGGGTCATGGCATGAATCACCTGAAACAGGGGATTTTTAGTCCTCAGGGGATATATTCAATTGAATGTTTTACCCGATTCATGTTTACAGATTACTCCTTTCGTGTACTTTTATATATCTAAAAACAAAATAATTTTACTTTGTTGTTAAGTAACGTTTAAACAAATTTATTAGCGACCTGGGTAAAAATGGTTATAGTTGTCACTTATTTTTCTCAGGAATCCTCATGGGGTCATGACCTATATTCTTTTTAGAGAGTTTTTAGGGTGAAAGGGTTAACCAGGGTGTTTTTAGCAGTGTGCATTGATACACAGTACCAGCACCTTTTCAGGCATTTTATTTTTCAGCCTTACTTTAATGGACAGTTTGTGATGAGTCTAGCACATGTTTGAGACTTTTGTTACTGTCACCTTTTCTTCTTTTACTGAAACAAAATGCCCTAAGTTTTTTTCTCACACACAAGCAACAGATACCATGTAACTTTCTTTGCCTTCTCTTGAATTCTAACCACCATACTGTATGTTACTTCAATCTTAACAGTGCTCTTGACAGAGCTCATCAACGAATGTTACATCTTCCCCTAACACTTCATTGAGGTACAAGATGGAAGAGAAGAAGAAGAAGAAGAAGAAGAAGAAGAAGAAGAAGAAGAAGAAGAAGAAGAAGAAGAAGAAATACCATATGTTACCTGACAGTTTACATTTGACTTGAGTATACTGAAGGAATCTAACTGAGATAAAGGCCACTATGTAATTTTATCATTTTGAAATTAGTAATTTGTCAAGGTTACAAAATCATTGCAGACAGGTTGCTCCATAATTGCTTCATTTCTGTGCCAGTGGGAAATCACATGAAATGTTCTCCCTGGGGGTCCCAGGGCCCCATTGTGGGGAAAACAAGAATAGACTTACTGCCTTCCCAACAAGCATGTTGTAGGAGTCAACTATTTTGGGAGGGGGGGGGGGGGGGGAGACTTCCTTTGAAATAGCAGTGTATCTGCCTGAGAGGCAAGGAACCAACAGTCTGTATACAAATAAGTCAAATGTGTAAAATGGATGTGCATGCAACATTTAGGTTCTGGAACAAGTCTTAAGTCCAGAGAAAGTTGAACAACCAGAAATTTCTGCCATAGTTTACTGTCGGTGAATGCGAAGAAGAAGAAGCAGACGTGAAATGATTTTCACTGTCCCTTTGAAAGCCAGTGCTTGTAATGACGTTTGATAGTGTTATTTTCCTAGCTCATTTGTGTGTGTTCTGAGGCCCCATTTAGGGGGGGGGGGGCAAAAAAGATTAGGCCCACTGCCCTTACTATCCTCCTCTCCCCCCACCCCAACAAACAAATTGTAAAAGGTGACTTAATAGAGATTTGCTGAAATAAATGTGTTGGACCTAAAGGCGAAGATATCACAGCCTAGCTGTAAACAACAACAACTACCCCTTAAAGGGCAAATATGCAAAAGAAAAAGAATTTCCCTATGTGATCATGTACTGTCAAACCGTCTAGCATTTTTTTTAAAACTGCATTTTGCCATTTTACATTCACCAAAAAATTTGATGACAGTTTTACAAAGTTGAGTCCACTCTTAACTCTTTGGTAAATATGGACCACAAGCCATGAAAATAATTACAGTAATATGCACATCTCTTTCTCAAATGAGGGCTGAAGGGGTTTTATTAAGAACTATTCAGAGCCACTATTAATGTGCAGAAGTGGATCAAGGACAGTGAACAGAGATTTGTTTTTAAAGAAGACGCATTACAGCATCATGGATGGACAATAAATGTAATGAGGATGTACAAAAAGAAAGTGTAAGTATTCATCATCAGGTGCCTCGCTGACTGGTGTGGGCGATCATGCCTCTCCACAATCTGCAATCTCCTGCAGCATATATCAGTTCGTGTGCTGACACACCTCCATGCCATGCAACAAGACTGTCAACAATCTTCTCTCGTTGTCTTCCTCTACTCCTCCTTCCACAGATCTTTTCAGTGGTCACAACATGTTCCATTTTCCCTCTTCTCATAACATGGCCAAAAAATGATGACTGTCTCCTTCTGATGTTTGTGATAAGTTGTCTTTGGGCTTCTGCCTCTTTCAAAACTTCTTGGTTGCTCTTTTTGGCTGTCCAAGGAATTTTAAGCAATCTTCTGTAAAATCACATCTTTGAGGCCTGCCTACCGATTGTCCAGGATTCACAGCCATATGTTAAAACTGGATGTATGTAGCAAGCAAGAATTCTTTTTCTAACTCTCAATGACAAAGATATATTGCATAAGATGTTCTTAATTTGATAAAATGCAGTTTTTGCCTGTCCTATTCTGTTTCTTATCTCAGTTATGCATGTTCCATCTGATGCCATCCGTGAGCCCAGATACTTAAATTTCTGTACTTGTCCCAAAATAACACCATTGACTTTTATTACACATTTAGGAATAATTCTTTTCTTTGATACCACCATTACTTCTGTCTTCCCATTTTTCAAACAGGCCCATTCTTCCACTTTCTAACACCACAATGTCTATCATTTCCTGTAGTTCTTTCTGACTTGTTGCTATCAAGACTGTGTCATCAGCATAACAAAAATGTGTTCATTTTGCCCACCAACCACAGTTCCGGGCATATCAATAAAAGATCTCATTTTATATTCACTGTATAGTGAAAACAATTCAGGTGACAGTACCATCCTTGTCGTACGCCCCTCTTTATGCTCTGAAATGTACCTAAACAGTTGTTAATTCTTATAGCTGCTGTTTGTTGCCAATACATATTCTTTATTATTCGTAGATCTTTTTCATCAATTTTTCAAAACATGATTGCTTATTCATGTTTCACACAGTCAGATGCTTTCGTATAGTCTATAAAGCATAAGTACAAATCAGTATTTACTTCTATAGCTCTATAGCTTATAAGTATTAATGACAGAAATTAACCCATAAAGAGAACTTGTTACCTGCATCAGAAAGGGAGAAACCCCACCAAATGACAATTTAATGAGAAGTGGAAAATTAGAGTACATTGTGACATCAAATACTGGTATCCATTTGATCTGAACATCAATGAAGACTTGCTAAGTAAACAGCATCTTGTCTAATAAAATGAATATATTTTGGCCATATCAAGTGATACAGTAGAGATATTAATAGCAGATAAATATCAGGTTAAATATGAGGTAAGAGGGGCATGGAACAACCAGCATGAAGATGGAAACAAGCTATAAGTGACATCTTGGGTAGGAGGAAAGTGTATGGTGTGGGGGAGCTGGGGAGAGACCAGGTTTCTTTCTGGCAGATCGTGATGACAGTGAAGTTCTGCAAAGGACCTGCTACATGATGATGATGATCTGACATCAAGAAAGTTACAGCGGAGAGAGGCAGGGAAAATCAATAGTGAAAATGTTGAATAGTTAAGCATTATGTATAATGGAGGGTTATTAATATTTTTCCTTCAAGCTCCTGAGGTTCATTGCTGCAGATATCTTCTTCTTCTACCTTTCTAGCCCCCAATGGAGCATAGTCCCTCAACCAACTCATGTCAAGTCATTCTATCTTTTGCTATTGCATGCAGCTTTCCCCATGTCTTCCCCATCTTTCAAACTTCACTCTCCAGCCCCCTTTTCCATGTGTTTTTTGGCCTTAACATTCCAGGTGCCAATTCTAGAGGCTTTTCTAGGGGAGAGGAGTTACGTCACCCTTCCGGCTTTCGCCACATGGTGTCATACTTCTTATACTTGAAGACCTCCCCTTACCCCACCCCATCTTGGTGGCTGGGTTTAACTCACTTTTCTTTTTGACATCCGTGATTGGTTAGTTTTTGTGGCTATTTTGCTTTACAGCTATGCTGCTATTTCTTGTGTCATTTGGTCCAACATGTCAAATTTCAGCAAATCCATAATTGGCCTATCTCTTCCCCCCCCCCCCCAATCCCATTTGGGCTCCAAAACACACTTCAGCATGCCCTATGAAGTCTAGTATAATTTGTTTGTTAGGAGATAAACAACAAAATTTATGCATGCATAAAGAATTATTACATCTCTACAAACCTAAATCTTGACCCTGAGCTCGACCGTTGCCCATGACATAGAGAAGAGAGTAGCCTTCCCATAGTCTGGAGGTGCCATGAGGGCAGTTGGGAACCACAGAGTCTTGGCTGTGTCTGAGTTTAATTAAAAACAAAACAATGTAGAGAATTGTTAATCACAGTAAAAAATTGTTAATTAAAAACAAAACAATGTAGAGAATTGTTAATCACAGTAAATAATTGTAATTAAAAAGAAACAACAAGATAACAGTGAATAGAGATACCACATTGGCTGGCCGACAGATGACTTTGTCACTGATCGGAACAGTATTTGGGTCTGTCTTTGATTGCACCAACACTGCAAGAGTTATTTTCAGAGCTACTTGGTGGCGAACGATGCTAAGTCATTTTATATGACGCACATAACCTAGTTACAATTATAACTTAAAACTCCCCCATTAGGGATGCTGGTTGAATGTGAAGATTATTTTTTTTCACAAAGCTAGCTAAGCCAAGCCTGGTGGTAAGTGCGACACCTTTCTTTTAAGCATTATTTTTTCACCACAAATGTAACAGACATTGTGTGGTGAGTACCGGCACCTTTCGTAAACATTGGTGTAAGTACTGGAATCTCCTACCCCTAAAAAAAAGCCGTGTTATAAATAGAAATTAAGACACTGCAAGATTACTCACCGAGACAGAATTACCATGATGTACATCCTGATATTCAACCATACACTCTCAATATGTCTCTGTTTATTTCTTTTTAAAATTCTCTCTCTCTCACTCACTCACTCACTCACTCACTCACTCACTCACTCACTCACTCACTCACTCACTCACTCACTCACTCACTCACTCACACTCTCACACTCACACACTCACTCACACTCACACACTCTCTCTCTCTCTCTTTCACTCTCTCGCTCTCTCTCGCGCGCACGTGCACGCACGCGCGCGCGCATGCATGCACACACACACACACACAGAGAGAGAGAGAGAGAGAGAGAGAGAGAGACAGGACGAGGTAAAGGGGAAACAGTGCGAGAGTAAAACAAACCACACACATAAACACGTACTCACACACACTATATGCTAATCCAATAACACAGCAGAATTTCTTGTAACATGTAGCAAACAGGATGAGTGCAAAAGACAAGTAAAATAAAAAATACTAAAAGATTAATTAGTATCTAAATATACAGAGGCTGTGTTAGGAAAAAAGAGCACATGTTCTCAGAGAAATGATAACTAATAAATTAACAGTAAAACAATTAACAAACAAAGACTAAAGAATAACTCATCATGAGAATGCAACACACGATCACTGGTTCAAACTAATAATTTAAAAAAACCCAACAATATAGCATGTGTTTCTTGAAATAAAAAACAACAAAATACAACACCTGATTAAAAATTGTAACCTACAACTGTATGGTAACCAATGACTGAATGATGACCTATGATGATACAGTAACCTATGAGTGATTGGTAAATACAAATTGAATGATAACTTACAACTGAATTGTAGCTTACAACTAAATTGTAATTTACAACTGAAAAATTACACATTACTGAATAATTATCTGAAAAGGAGAGAAACATACACCTTCAATAGTAATCCACGATAAACAGTAACCTATGACTAAATGATAACATATAACTAAATGTTAAGCTACAACTGAATGGTGACAAACAACTAGATTTAACCTACATCTGAATGGTAACCTATGAAGGATGACAACCTACCACTGTATGGTAGCCTACAGCAAAGTGATAAACTACAACTGAATGGAAGGTAAAAGACAATATGATAACCTACAACTGAATAGTAGCTTACAACTGACTAGAAAACTAAAACAGAATGGCAACATACAACTGACTGGTAATCTTTAATTTAATGATATCAAACCGCTGTATGGTAAATTGCAGCTGAGTGGTAACCTATAAGTGGGATAGGCTGGAAAACAACAAAGACTACTGATCAGCAACAACAACAAAAGTGACAAAGAGGCCACAGGAACAGCTATTAGCTTTAGACGGTAAAGTGAAGAAACCTGACCAACCATCAGTTTAAAAAAGATCTTGTTTAGTCTTTTAGTGTTCTATTTTACTTCCGGACGCACCCTGTGGAGACCTACCCAGCTGTTGCGGCTTTGCACATTGGGCTAGCCAGATGGGTATGGGCGACTGCTGGGGAAGACCGGTTGTCAGACTGGCTTATGTTCGTGATAAGGGTACATTCCATTAGTTTAGGTGGTGTTAGATTTGATTTCCATTGCGCATCATCGCTAGGAGATAGTTTGATGACAGGTCGCTGTAAGTGATTTGTTGGCCTATTGAAGCTCAACATACATGTTAAATACGTTTCGGTTTTCAACACTGTTGAAGTAATCTTGCTGAGTGTATGGTGTCATTATCAGATTTCCTTGTTAGCTGATGATCGCTTTAGATTCTGGTCAAGCTTGTTGGTTGTTGTTAATGTTATTTGTGGACCACGCTGATTTTATGTTAAGTGAAATAAACAGATGTTCAATGTAGTAATCATAGTTCCAGTTGTTTTTTTTGTTCAAATTAGGACTTGAAGTTAGTATGCCTAGTTTAGTATTTGTTGCTTGGCTGATCTAGACTTTACACAAAAGATTTCCTGTCAGGGTGAGATAAATTTGATCTTACCCCCCACCTAAATGAATTATTTCTCTTGTTACTGAGGCAGCTTAAGGTTATGTTTTGGCTCCCACTCGCCACGTCAAATTGTTAGAACTCTTGTAGGTTCGCAGTCGAGGAGATTTCAAGGTGTAGATTTCCATATTATCGTTTATTGTTATCCCTTCTCTTTCCTCCACTAAAAGATACCCCCTAGGCTTTGCTTCTAGTACATAAGGATTGGTAATCTACAATGATGTAAGGAAAAGTAACCTGTTAATGAATGGTAATGATAACATACAACTAATTGGTAACCTACAACTAAATGATAATCTACAACTAGGTGGTAACTTACAACTAAATGGTAATCTTAAACTAAGTGATAACATACAACTAAATGGTAATCTTAAACTAAGTGATAACATACAACTAAGTGGTAACCTACAACTAAATGATTATCTACAACTAGGTGGTATCTACAACTAAATGATTATCTACAACTAGGTGGTACCTACAACTAAATCATTATCTACAACTAGGTGGTAACCTACAACTAAATGATTATCTACAACTAGGTGGTACCTACAACTAAATGATTATCTACAACTAAATGGTAACTTACAACTAAATGATTATCTACAACTAGGTGGTAACCTACAACTAATTGATTATCTACAACTAGGTGGTAACTTACAACTAAATGATTATCTACAACTAAATGGTAACTTACAACTAAGTGGTAATCTACAACTAAATGTTAATCTTAAATTAAATGATAAGGTCAACTAAGTGGTAACCTACAACTAAAAGATTATCTACAACAAATGGTAATTTACCACTAAATGATACTGAACAACTGAAGACTTACCTCGTGAAGACAATACCTGGTCCTGTGGCAGAACTACCAGGTGTACCAGGATCACCAGCAATGCCAGGGATACCACTGCGACCAGGACGGCCATCTTGGCCTTCTGTACCTGGATGTCCAGAACGACCTTTTTTTCCAATGGCTCCAGGTATGCCAGGGTCACCAGGGATACCAGGTATGCCAGGAAATCCATAAAGTCCAGGAAGCCCTATTGTAGGATTTTGATAATTCACTTTGTCAATATTTGTAATGTCCTGCCTCTGGTAATTCATTCAACTCTTTCAATACTTAACGCTCAACTTGGGCTTCAAGGTCATGGGTTCAAATTAACATAGAGTCTGATTTTTTATTCTAAAAAAAAAAACCATTACATTGGCTCCAAATTAAACCCAGCCCTTTTTTTGTAATGCCGGGGTGCCGATTTTGATCCCAGCTGCAGGCCTTGCACCATGGGTTGGTTTCAACAGTGGTATCGAGAAGTCGACCGTCAAGAAAGCAACGACAAAGTACTGGATGTAAACTTGCCTAGAAAAACCACAACAGCGAAAATATTCTGTGGTTGGTTCTGCAACGTCCTGTAAAGGATATGTAACTTACTTATATGGGTAGCAGGTAAACTCCTGGGAAGTAAAGGTGGTCAGCATGATGTTGATCACATCACCCACAGAGTGCCAACCTGTCTATTAAAGTCTAGCATTATATACCCAATACGCCCAAGTGCGTGGAAAAAAGTTTCTGTACTTTTTTCAGCACACAGCAACATCATCATCCTGTAACACTACATGTCGTTGGGTCACCAGTTTCTGTTGACTGTCTGATCAGCTCTCTCCACCTCTGGTGGTCAGCGATGAACTTTATGGCTTTATGCCTGAGGCCTGTGCAGTCAGTCAGGTTCTGTAACCAGGTCTGCCTCTTCTCCTCTTTCCCTCTACTGAGCCTTGCAGTATTGTTTTTGAGAGGCAGTTATATCTTATTACATGTCCATACCACTGCATTTTTCGCCCCTTCACTGTAGTTAAAAGAGGTTTGTAGTTGCCAAAGTGCTGTATAATTATATGGCAAACCTCTTCATTTGTAATGTGGTCTCTGTATGATATGCCAAGAATTTAGCACTTAGCAACTTACTATATATATATATATATATATATATATATATATATATATATATATATATATATATATATATATATATATATATATATAAATATAAATATAAATATATATATATATATATATATATATATATATATATATATATATATATATATATATACATACATATATATACTCATAATAAACACCAGTAAATCTAAAGTAATGTGAAATCATTTCAAAACAGAAAATCCAGTTATCTTAAACAATGAAGCAATAGAGGAAGTTGAAGAATTTATATACCTCAAAAGTAAAGTTACTCTAGTTGGAGATTCTGAAAAGGATGTAACATCAAGAATAAACAAAGCAAATCAAGCATTTGCCATGCTTAACAATATATGGAAGTAAAAGGGATTTAGTCTGAAGACAAAACTTAGAATATACAAGAGCAACATTTTAGGAATACTATTATGCAACAGTTCGTAATGCCGGGATGCGGGGTTCGATCCCAGCTGCTGGCAATGCGCCTTGCCTTGGTTTCGACAGTGGTATCAAGAAAGCTGACCGTCCAGAAAGCAATGACAAACTACTGGATGTAAATTTGCCTAGAAAAACCACACAAAAGCCAGGGGCTGTTGGGGTTGGTTCTGCAACGTCCTGTAAAGGATACGCAACTAACAGGGAATGTTGGAAAATGACAGCGGGAATTACATATAAACTTGAGACTTTGCTAAATAAATGTTTAAGGAGAATTCTACTAATATATTGGCCAAACAAGATCACCTATGAAGAACTAAGGAAGAAAACAGAATAAGCATCACTGACAAATGTATCAAAGTAAGAGGATGGAGATGGCTTAGACATGTTTCAGAATGCCTTGTGACACTCTGGCAAAAACAGCTCTCTGGTGGACAGCAGATGGGAAAAGGAGACGTGGACGACCTAAGGAAACCTGGAGAAGGACAAAAGAATGGGAAATGAAGGAATGTAAACTGATATGTGATACCATGGGCAGAAAAGCAGCAGATTAGCAGCAATGAAGTTCACTTGTGAATGCCTTATGTGTCAACAGCGACATGAAGAGGATATAGATAGAATTTACTATACATTTTACTGATTATTCTATATAAAATATACTTTCCCCAACTTTTGATAGTGCTATTCAGCATGTGGGTTCTGGGGCCGCATTGTGGGGGTGGGGGGGGGGGGGGGAGAGATGATAGAATAGATCCACTGCCTCCCTAACAAGCATGTCATAAGAGTAAACTTATTAGAATGTGTCCTTAAAAGTCGTTCTACATCTGCCTGACAGGCAAGGAACCGACAGTCTGCATTCAAATAAGCCAGACTGTAAAGTGGATGTGCACACAAAACTCAGGTTCTGGAACAAGACTAAAATCCAGAAGTGGACAAACAACTAGAACTTTCTGCTAGAGTTTACAGCTAGTGTGTGCAATGAAGAAGAATCTTTTAATTGTCTTCACCTTCTTCTTCTTCATCTTCACGATCACCAGCTGTAAAATCCGGCGAAAAATGTTCTGGCTGTTCGTCCACTTCTGGACTGCAGTCGTGTTCCAGAACCTGAGTGTTGCGTGTGCATCTGGTTGACAGATCTGACTAATGCAGACTGTTGGTTCCCTGCCTCTCAGGCAGATGCACTCCAACTCGAAGGAAGCTCTCAATTAGTCGACTCTTACGACATGCTTTTGGGTAGGCAGTGGGTCTATTCTTGTTTTCCCTATAATAGGGCCCCGGAACCCACACGGGGAAATTAAATATGAAATGTGAAATGTTTTTTTTAAAAATAAAAAAGAAGAATCTACGAAAGAGAAGTGACTACCTCCATCAGAAAAAGGAATCCACATTCTTTGGTAAATCTGAATGATGCCAGACTTTTAACACACACACAAATTGACCTTAGCTTCCTGGTCGACCCATCCTTAAATGAGTACCATGTAAAATCATGGGAAGTAAAAGTGGCCATCATGATGTTGACCACATCATCTACTGAATGTCGATTAGTCTTGAAAATACGGGTCTATCACTTCCTTCCCAATGAGCCTGACTGTGTGGAAAAAGGATCCTTTACTTTTTTTTTTTTAACCCTATACTGTTGTGCATCACCAGAAGAATGCCCTAGTTTTGTTTACACTTTTTAAGAATAAACATTTGTGCCACTAGAATTGGAACTCTTCGCTTGCTGCTGAAGGTGGAAAATGAAGCGCTTATGGGAGTGTCCCGATTGCTGTGTTGTCAATTCTTAACTAAACATTCAGTGATCAAGAGTGAATATGATTCAAACATTAATTCATCTTCAAAAACTTCCAAGTGAATCTTTGAAGAGAAATCATTACCTGCTTTAGACAGAGGAAAAACAAAAAGCCTGTCTACATTCTGTGGGTGTGCCATGAGAAATGGAAAACTGGAGTACATCATGAAATGCAAAAGCTGAAGGGGATAAAGGTAAAGGTGAGAGGATCGACTTCATTGTACCAGGTTATATCATCCCATATGGCTCAGTCTTTCTCCGCAGAACACTAGCTGCCTGCCGAGAGGGTCGCACAAAGCACAACCTCTGTAGCTCTGGCAATGATGTCCAAGGATCTCCATTAAAAGAATTGCACCCGTGAACTGAAGGGAACCACTAAGAAATGAACCGATGACCTTCAGAGCATGAGGCAAATGGCTTGACCACTTCGCCACAGAGACCCCCCAGCTGAAGGGGATGAAAGGCAAAAGCATACATAGAGAGAAGATTTGGAACAGTTTGACTGTACGGTATGGAGGAACGTCTGTGTCAGTGATGACTGAAAGAACCGATTACACATTTTTTTTTTCAAGGGTCCTCAATTGGGCACACAGGCCCATGTTACCATTGGCCCTTCCAGACACTCATCTTTTACACAACAGTTGTAGTTCTGTCTGCAAAGCATGTTATGTTCATATAGCAAAATGCATTGCATAAGCCTAGAATTAAAAATACAAAAGTCTGGATGGCAAATACATACAATTAAAAATGTATATATGCATACGTAGGCAAGCATGCTTATATTTACACACTAAAATTCATATACACATGCACAATTAACAAACAAACTAATTTATATAAAAACATTAATACACACACACACATATCACTCCAAAGACACACACAAATATACTCATACAAACACATACACAGATACTCATATACACACTGCAAACATATATCCCATGTGCTTACTTATCACACAACACATGAGACATCTAGCTGTGGACTAACAGGAATACCAATGCCAGATGGCATCGATATAAGAAGACAATTACACGCAACCTCTCACATACCTACCTCCAAGTGCCGGTTCAGGGGCCCCAAATTGGGGGAAAGAGAGCGGACTCATGCCCCCCTTCCCACCTCCCAAACCAAGCATGTTGTAAAAGATAACAAATCAGGGATTGCTCATCTGAAGTCGGAAAACAAATGCCTGAGCGGAACCAACAGTCTGCATACTTGTAAGCCAGATCTGTAAAATCAATGTGCATGCAAAACTTTAGTTCTGAAACAAAAATGAAGTCTAGAAGTGGAGGAACAACCAGAATTTAGCACCAAAGTCTACAGCAGGTGAATGTGAAAAAGAAGAAGATGAAATGATTGACAGTACATGAGACAGAAGACTGCAGACAGACATGAATACCAACACCAAATGGTGAGGACTACAAGAAGATAATTCCAAGACTTCTCTCAGATACCAACCTAGGTCTCCATTAGGCCCCCTCCAGCCTCGATCACCAGGAAGACCTTTCTGTCCTTTGGGACCTTCATTGGGTCCTTCAAATATACTGCTAGGACCAGCCAGACCAGGAGCTCCTCGGGCACCTGAACAAAAAAGAAGACATTATACTGCATTATTTATATACAGAAAAGTAATTCCTCGTTGTCTATTTTTTTTTGTGGGGGGGGGGGGGGGGGGGGGGGGGAGGCCTGTAATATGTCACATAGGGCTTGCTGTCTATTCCTTGATTCCATTCTAAGCTGTACAATCCTTTTGATGGCTGTGAGTGTCTGTAGCAAAGATTTTCTTAAAGGGTTAGAAGAACTGGCCCCAAGCCTAAACCTCCTTCTTTCTAATCCAGACTTGGGAATGGCAATGGTGGAGATGAAGTCATTCTTCCTGTTATATATATTTCTCTGTGTGCATGTGTTGTGTATGTGCACATGCATGCATGTGTTTCTTTTTCATGGAAATATTTTGAGCAGAAATAAACTTGAAAATGTGGTGAAAACTGAAAGTCAATAAGACAAGAGCGGGGGGCAAAAGGATAAATTATTCTAGAATGACTTTAGCAAATGCTGACGAAAAGAAGCCTGATTTGACAGTCTTGTGTCCCAATATGGGTTTTGGGACCCCACTGGTCCCCCTAACAAGCATGTCATAGGATAGGGCTATTCATCAAAGTTTACCCAGGAGCCAAAATGGTGATCGTCATCGGCTAGACCAAATCTGGCCCGCAGGTAGCCAGTTGAAAGTTCCTGTTGTAGTAGGTGACTAATTAGGGGTGTCTTCTTCAATGTCAGAAAGCATATGCCTGAGAGGCAAGGAACCAACAGTCTGCATACAGATAAGCCGGACCACCAAATAGATGTGCACACAAAACTCAAGATCTGGAACAAGACCTCTCCATGGAAAAAAGAGGCGAGGGGGGTCCAGGGTCCTATTGTGAGAGACGCTCTGATTCACTTGTTGTAAACTCTTGTGAAAGGTCCTGGCTTTTTGTCCACTTCTGAACTTTACCCTTATTCCAGAACTTGAGTTTTATATACCCATCTTTTTATCCTTCTATGTAATCGTTTTTTTCCCCCTTTCTCCTTCCTTTTTCAGCTTCCTATTTATAGCCTTCTTTTTTTTCATTTTTTTCCTCCTAAAATTCCCGCCATGTGGCATTAGTAGTCATGTCTATCCCTAACCTTCTTCTCATGTGCTTTCAATAAATTGTGACACTGATGATCTTCCATGGCATGATGTCAAACTATTCTGAATATTTTAAACTAGCCAGCATCTTTTCTCTTTAGTCGCCCTCTCCTCTTTTCCCCTCAAATTGTCCACGCTGTCATGACATGTCCCAGTTTTTCTCCTTCTCATCACCTGACTGAAGAATGTAGATTGTCTCCTTCTGCTGTGGACAATCAGTTCTCTTTGTGATTCAGTTTCTTTCAAGATATTTTCGACTGGTCAATAAATTACTTGACTGCAGTCTCTCCCAGGTCGACCCAGCCTTGAGTGGGTACCAGGAAGTAAAGGCGGCCGACGTGATGCTGACCACATCACCAATCTTGCGCCTATTGGTCTAAAAAAAATAGGTCTAGCCCTATATGCCTAAAGGTGTGGAAAAGGGTCCTTTACTTTTTTTTTTAACTTAACTGCAGTCAAGGTAAATAGGTAAAATGATCAACAAATGAAAAGAGCTCATGTTGCTTCCCACTTATGATGCTACAACAGTCAACAAGAATGAACTTTACTACCAGCCTGTTTGTATTTTTTTGCTATTCCTAGCCATTTCTTTTCCTCCTCTTGCCTGACCAGACTGATGTTGTAAGGGCCCTGTGGGAGTGAGGAAACAGTGCAGAGGCACAAAGAGATCATCATTGTCTGAAGAGGCTGGTGCAGCAAGGAGTGACCACTGTATATGGCCAACACTCACCCATGGGAGGGCTGAGACGGACATGCAATCAGATTGTTACTGGTAACATCTGAACTGGAACTCTGTGCTTGCTGCTGGAGGTGGGGATGGAGTGCTTATGAGAATATCCTGAGTGCTATGATGTCAGTTCTCAACTCATAGCTCTCTTTCTCTTCTTCCCCCCTTTTCGCCTCTCCTTTTCCTATTAACATTTGATGTGGTTATCAACACCAGATCACATTCATCATGGCTCCTATGATACAACACAAGTAAAGGGACATGAATTTGGGGTTAGGTTTGGTTGCAGAAAAGAGGGAGCATACGACAGGAATAGTACCACATGTTAACAAACAGTTAAAGGTTAAAGTTGAAAGGATCGACTTCACTGCACTAGGCTTTTATTCCATATGTACTGGTCTCTCTCCACAGATGGCTAGCCCCAGTGCCCCAGTGAACCAAAAAACACAGTTGTAAAACAAACTCAGGACCTTCAGAGCATGAGGCAAATTGCTTGGCCTATTCGCCACAGAGAGGTGGCGGTGCACGAGCCGTGCTTCAGGCACTCCAATCTGGAAAACTACCTGGTATACGAACACTACTCTTCAAACTAGGCATCCAGTGTAAGGTAACTATACAATAGATACCATCCCACTGTTGAAGTCCTGGAAATGAAAGAGCTGATAAACTAGCTAAGGAAGGTGCAAATGAAGAACAACCTGACGCACCAGTCTCTTATCAACAGAAGAAGAGAATAATCAAATTTATCAGAAAGCCACCAAAAACTGGCATTTTATGGACAGACCAGAGCAAGTTATTATTCTACACCTTAGAACAGGACACAGTCGACTTCGCAGCCACATGTACACACAATTTAAAATCAGCAAATCAGCCATGTGCACATGTGGATTGGCACCTGAGACAACAGATCATGTCCTCCAAGACTGTCCCAAATATAACATATCACGGCAAAACTGTTGGCCAAGAGAAACATGGGTGCAAGTCAAACATTACAGATTGATGAGTGAATTACAAAAGATAGTGAAGTTCACACTAGAGACAACATTGCAGATATAGGTAATCTATTTAAAGCGAACAAAAGAAGAAGAAGAAACCACAGAGATCCCTGTGAACAGTGTGCTACAAACAGTGTCCTGACAGAATAATTACTAAATGCACCGTACTTCATTTGCTGCGGGACGGGAGTATCTATGAATGAGTGCTAAGATGTTGATGTTTACAAATCAGTCAAAAGCAATCAATCAAACATGAAACATGAAGCTGAATAAAGTAAAAGAAATACAACCAACATGGTTATTTACCTTTAGAGCCAATTTCTCCAACTGGACCTCTTGGTCCTGAAACACCAGGCTCTCCTCTGAATCCTCGTTTTCCTGATTCTCCAATGGATCCTTCATCTCCGGGTAGTCCTGGCGAACCAACTGAACCTTGAGGTCCAGGTAAGCCCTGTGTATACAAGACATTATGTATTATTTGTTCTAGTTTGAGAAAGATCAAGTTGTCAAATCATAGTGGGCTAAGCAGATGTAAAGAGGGTAGTTTGCTTTGTACTTGGTAGTAACAGGTTGGTGATAATAGCCTTTGTGAAGGTTTCAACTGACTGACCCTGATGAGACTGACTTTCTGCTAAGGACCTTGCACATGATGATGAGCAAGACATGATAACAACTAGGAAAAAAAAAGGCATATGCCTTCACAATTAATATGCTGTAGGAACACACACTGCTCCTGGTTAGAGAACACGACACACACACACACACATCGTGATTGTAACTAACTCAGAAAGCATGCTGAGGAAGGTCAGGACAGGCATGCTTCATGCAGAGCAGCATCCTTCACTGTGGAGGAGTATTGTCTGGATTTATTCACCGGGTATGCCGGTATGTTGGAAAATGAACAGGCAGACAGACTGGCTGGCTCTGCAGAACTTGGTGGAATACTACTGCATGATAAGGCTGACATGGTAAGTGCCTTGTGGGAGAGTGTGTACAGTTCAGAGGAGCAGACGGATCACCACAGTCTGGTGAGATGGATGCAGCGGGGAGTGACAAGAGGTTCTGGCAGATGCTCGAGGCTCAGAGGAAAGGCAAGACGGATGTTTAATCAGAATGCTACTGGCACCATTAGTATCGGAATTCTTCACTGGCTGCTGAGGATGGAGACGGAGTGCTTATGGGAATGCCCGGAGTGCTTATGGAAATGCCCTAAGTGCTGTGATGTTGGTACTTGAATCAACTCAACTCAACTGAGCTCACTGCTCCTTAATCATGGCACCTTTTGAGACGGCAGAGGACAACAATGGCTGCCTTTTATCGTCACCATTACTTTGTAGCACTGCATGACATTGTGTCACCAGCCAGTTGCTGCTGACCATCTGATCAGCTCCCTCCACCTCTGACTCTTAGATGCGATGGACATAATGGTTTTATGCCTAAGGCCTGTCCAATTAGTTAAGTTCTGTATCCTGGCCTTGCCTGGTCTGCCTCTTCTTCTCTTCCTCTCTAAGGAGCCCTGTAGTATTGTTTGTCAGAGGCCGGTAGATCTTAATACATGTCCGTAGCATTGAATTTTTCTATGTTTTCACTGTAGGCTCATATTACCAGTTTTGATTTGATTTGATTCAAAAACCGACATCACAGCACTCGGGGCATTCCCATATTCGCTCCGTCCCCATCTTCAGCAGCCAGCGAAGAGTTCCGATACTAATGGTGCCAGTAGCTTTCTGATTAAACGCCCGTCTTGCCTTTCCTCTGAGCCTCGAGCTTCTGCCAGAACCTTTTGTCACCCCCAACTGCATCAATCTCACCAGACTGTGGTGATCCATCTGCTCCTCTGAATTGTACACGCTCTCCCACAAGGCACTAACCACATCTGCCCTATCATGTATATTACCAGTTGAGCTGAGTTGAGTCAAGAATTTACATCACAGCACTCAGGGCATTCCCATGCATGCTCTGGCCTCATCTTCAGCAGCCAGCGCAGAGTTCCAATACTGATGGTACCGGTCACAATCTGGTTAAATGTCCCTCTTGCCTTTCCTCTGAGTGTAGTGAGCCGGCCAGACCCTCTGGTTACACCCATTCTCTCCAGGCCATAATAAGTTACTGATAATAAGTATTACCTAATAAGTCAAATTACCAATGCGCTGGGTAATTATATGGCAAAACTCATAATTTGTTATGTGATTTCTGTATGATATCCAAGAATATCTCTGAAAGATCACATTCCCATTGCTTGTATCTTTTTTTTCGAGTTCAGCTATTAAGGAACCCATTTCACAGGCACATTATTAATTGCTAGTGTTCTGAGCTGTCATAGCTTAGTTTTACATGAAATGTTTTTGGATCTCCAAAATATCTGCTGTTTGGCAAGGACTGATGTTGTCTGGGCAATCCTAGTCTGCCTTTACTTCAGAGAGCATTTCCTAGAACACATTTCAGACTGGTTTGCTATATGATCATAAATTAAGAAAATAATGAAATAATATCAATTAACAAAAATATAAATGGAAAAATAAAATTCACCCACATCTGCACCAGTTTTTCCTTTTTGTCCAAGTCTACCTTGAGCACCAGGTCTGCCAGGGAAGCCAAAATCTCCAACATCTCCTTTAATTCCGGAATGTCCATGTTTACCAGCTTCACCCTTTGCACCCTTGACACCTGCAATAAAAGATTACGTATTATCAGTCACTGTTCTATTATATAAGTGTACATACAGCCAGGATCCTGGACAATAAACAAGCCAAATAATTTCTTGAGGCCACAAAGATGTGGTTTTTACAGAGCAGCCAAGATGTTTTGAAAGAGGTGAGGGTTCCAAGACAACATCACAAACATCAGAAAAAGTCATACTATGAGAAAAAGGAAACTGGAATAGAATATGATGTGAACAATATGATGTAGCAATCACTGGCTGTAGGTACACACATGTAATGGAACTGTTTACAAGCTGCGTGCGCACATCCCACGCATGCATGCACGCGCGCACACACACACACACACATATATATATAAGCCCACAACAATGGTAGACATATGAAAGACAGACAGCTCTAGAGAAATATATTTAAGGATTAAGAAATATATTTCAGGAGCTATACTATGGAAAAGAAGCAGCCAAACTAAAAGCCCAAATAGATCGAATTAATGCATTAACTAGAGATGGTTGAAACAGGAGTGACTGCAGTAAAGCTGATATCAAGATGTAATAAATACAATACAAGCCGACCACAAAACTCACTGGGGAAAATGAAAAAGATGCACACAAATACAACTATACATTGAGACCAGAGTCTAACAACTAAGGGGTTCTGTTCAAAATGCCAGATAAGCAGGTTTAGCGTTTTGTTTTTGTTTTTCATACATGGCAAAGTTGTTTTTTATATGACAATAGTTAGCGGCTGCATTTCCCTCAATATGTGGACTGAAACTATATAGTTCCATTGCCCAGCTACTGAGCTGAGTGCATTGTGTGACAATGTGAGCTGCAAATTTAATTTGAAATAACTTTTGACTGTGCCCAGGTTTATGTTGTGAACTGCATATTTAGAAAATGGCAAGTGATCTGCTGCCAAAAAACTTGTGGTGCCTTATGCAATTAACTGCATATGCAACTACTGATGTTTGTAACTGCTGCTTAAATTGATAAAGAACTGCATTTCTAGTGGCAGACTGTTTGTGCTGGCACTTCTGTCGGTTTTCTTATGCATTAAATGTATGTGTATGCTACTGACTTGCTAATGACTGTCATTTGTTTTTAGGTTTGAGGTTTTGAACAATGGATCAACATCATGGCACACTAGTAGTAACCCATTAAGTGCTCTATTCTACTTCTAACTCAAGTCAGTCTGAAGAAGCTCAGCACAGTGCACAGGTTCTATAGCACTGGCAAGAATCCTGAACTACTTTGGGTAGAGTTTCAACTCCATATTTTGCTCGGGCAGCACTGTTAGGCTACTCTTTTCGATTTCCAAATGCCAAGGGATTTTTTACGTACGCAACAATGCACACGGGCAGCCGATCCCACTACCCAGAGACCAGGGGAAATTACTAGAAGTCCAAGTCCACATGAAAAAATCCCAGCCCTTACTGGGGATTAAGCTCGGAACCTCTAGCCCTCGAAGCAGTCACCATGCCTGGAGACCACGCAGCCCCTCCATTTTTTTTTAAACAACGGACAATGATGAACATTCTGTTTTTTGTTGGCACAGGTTCAGAGCAATTATAAGGTGACCCATATGCCATGAAGTTGGAATGGTGATTACCTACTTACCGTTATTAACAGAAAAGCATTAATAATAAGTGTTACTGTTTTGTCCTTAGCTGTATTTGTGTGGGTCTTTTCTATTCTGCAGTGAGCTTTCAAGTAACAGTTTGTTTTATGTCAAGTACTTCTACATTAGTAAGTCATCCGATTATCTTCATGGCATATCAAACCATTCAATCCTTCAGTGCTTTGATCCCCTCCTCACGCCGGCCGCCTCTACTTTCCGGGACTGTACTCGGTACTCACTCAAGGCTGGGTCCACCTGGGAGCCAAGGTCATTTTTAAAGAGACGTCCGGCTCCGCCAGGGAGTGAACCCATGACCTTCCGATACGTTGCGCGTGTCTAGCTGCTCTGCCACAGCAACTCCCAGCATCATATAGAATTACAAATTGTCTATGCAAACGCAGCTTTACATACAATGAAAAAATTGTCTATGCAATCTGAATTTATTCACTGTGGTGAGAAAGCAAATTTTTATTTCTACGGAGCCAATCCTGACAAATGGAAGAGAACCATGGGAAGTCAGCAAATCAGCTAAAATTATTTTAAAACTGCAGATCTGTGGTTTTATCGAACAATTATCAAAACAACATCTACATATGAATTAAGATGGCCTGTAAGAAACACTTTCACAAAGAGAACTGTTTATTCGATTAAAGGAAGAAATTCTTTGGACACATCATAAAAAGAGGAGGTAAAACTGAGTGAATCATGATAACATACCAGTCATACAGTTTACTAAAAAGAGCAGCAGATTTATCACAAAGAGAACTGTTTATCTGCATAAGGAAGAAATTCTTTGGACACATCCTGAAAAGAGGAGGGAAAAACTGAGTGAATCGTGATAACATACCAGTCAAACAGTTTACTAAAAAGAGCAGCAGATGAGATGGTTCAACCATCTGACGAATGCCCTGAAATCAACTGCCAAAGAGAGCCTTGCAAAAGAAATATAATGGGCACATAGCAAGGGAAAGATCACACAGAAGATGGAATGACTGCATCAAGAAGAACCATTATCAAAATAAAGATAAAATTATACAACACACTGGAAAGACAACACAGAAGATCCTTGCATCACACTCCCCCCCCCCCCTTTCCCCCTCTTCTTCCTCCAAACACTTTAATGAAGTACCTGGAAAAATTGAAGAAGAAAAAGAAAAAGATAAAAATGTTACAGGGAAAGAGAGGCAGAGGGAGACCCAGAGAGATGATGATAAATAGTTTGCCATCATGGTCTTGAAATATCTTTATAAAAAATGACTCCCTATAAAATGGATGTACACATAAAACTCAAGTTCTGAAACAACAGCTTCTTCTTCTTCTCTTCCACCTTGTACCTCATCGAAGTGTCGGGTGGGGTGGGGGGGGGATGAAATGTTCGTTGATGAGCTCTGTCAAGAGCACTATTAAGACTGATGTTCATTTCTGTCAGGTTGTTCTTAATGCCATCACTCCATATTTTCCGAGGTCTTCCACTCGCTCTTTACCCGTTGTAACGTTTTAGTATGGCTCACTGTGGCAGATAGTACCAGGGCATTTTTGTTAGGTGTCCAAACCACTTCATTTGATGACCTGTAAGACTGACTTTATTCCTAGCATTCGTCTGATTTCATATTGTGTCTTTCCTTGAAACTCCTGCAGCTCTTCTAAGGCATTTCATCTCTGTTGTCACAATTTTACGTTTATTGGAGGATGTAAGTGTCCATGTTTGGCATTGATAGCATAGTGTTGGCCAAAAAATATTCTGATAAGATTCACTTTAGTACTCCGAGGTAGCTGCTTGTGTGTCAATAGGGGAGATAGTTGCCCCATTACTTGATTAGCTTTGGCACATCTGGAGCGAATTTCTCTGTCCAGTTTTCCGTTGGATGTGAAAATTGCTCTCAAGTACTTAAATTCCCCTGTTTGTCTCAGGGTGTTGTTTTTTAATTTTATTTCTAAATTGTCTTTATGTCCTCCTATCATCATTGTCTCTGTCTTCGTTGAGTTTTCATATTATATTCCTCCCCTTTGTTACTAATTTGATTTAGGTGGTTCTATAGGCATTCCGTATTTTCTGCTATGAGTACCTGGTCATTGGCGAATAGTAATTCTGTAATATCTTCTTCATGATTAAAGTTTGTTTCGCTACATATGGTATCCATGTATTTTATAAAAAGAAGCAGCGATAGTACACAGACCTGACGCACACCAGAGTTCACTATAAAAGTTCTTGACAACCCTGCCTTCGATCTTATGCAGCAGGGAAACAACAGCAAAGGCCAGAAGTGGATAAACAACCAGAATTTTCCACTGGAGTTCACAGTCAGTCACTTTGAGAAAAAAAAAAAAAGACTCACTGACCCCTTGACCAGCTTGTTTAAAAGGGATTTTAGGGATTTAAAAAAAAAATCGGATGTGTTGGGTCAAACGGTGTAGATATCATATCCTCGCTATAAACCAAGGCAAACACAGAAGAGGAAGAAGTGATTGACAGTAACTGAGATAGAGGCATAGAAAGTCCCTTTTTACGCCAGTAGTGCATCAGGCATATGACTCATATCTTTATAGATTAATCACGCTTTGGGAATAGAAGTGGGGAATGGAGAGTGAGAGAAAACCCACGAAATTAATAATCTGTGTAAATCACCGACATCATGAGTGTTAATAGACTGAAATGGCTGGGGTATATTGAGAGAATGTGTATACAAGGGAGATGAATTACGACCTCAAGGCAGACCAAGAAGATGATGATTATATCCAGACAGACCTACAAACACTTGGTGTCACCAACTGGAAAAAAAAGCCATCCAGACAGATGAGTGGAGGTGGGTGATATCAGGAACAATGAACCTCAAAGGTTTGGAAAGATGAAGAAGAAGATATTTGTAGTGAGTTCATTTTCTCCCAATTAATTTATGCCCAACAGATGACGTCAGAAATAAATGTAAGGGGAATGTTTTGACTGACTGGGATAACACGAGATTTGTGTCTGAGTTTCATGGGAGACATCTGAAAGTCAGGTTTTATGTGAAACATGATTGTTCACGTGGCAGGCTTCGTGTGAAATGCGAAAAATCACGGGCCAGACACGATTTTCAGCGGCGGGGAATTCGTGAGAATGAAGTTAGACAGAATATTCGAGAAGAACATGACAGAGATTAGAGAGCTATATAATAGCGGAGAAAGGACTGAGAGGCAGTCTCGTTTGGATCCAGGAACCAGTGCGCATGGACAGGAAGACGTGTGTAGTCTACGTGTGTTGAGCGGATGTGTTCCTATCCAACTTGGCGGAGAAGCTGGCAGACAAACTGTCTGCGGGCATGTTGGTTATTTCTGTTACACCAGCTATGTGTTTCGTAGTGTAGGAAGATTGTGATTTCTGACAGAAGGTAATAAAAGTCTAGCATTTATTATTTCAATGATCATGTGTGCCTGGACAATAGTCTGTTTTCATGTGCCGGCTGAGTAAGCCGCGAGCAGGAAATTAAAGTACTGAACAGTATCGTGTTGTTGTTCCAATCGTCCATTTTCTGCTCGTCATGTGATGTCGGTACGTGAGCGTTGCGATGATGCGAGCCAGATAAAGATAGAAGAGAATCATCGCAATATTGAATCAGCATGTGATGAGTGATGGAATCAATATCACACTGGCTGCCTTTACTTCCCAGGATTATACCTTGTACGTATGTTAGACTGGGTTGAAATTGGAGCCATGGTCATTTACAAAGCAAATCTGACTTGTTGTGGATTAGATAGAAGCTGTAGATAGGCATAACTATCAAGGCCTCAAGGAATAGACTGTCAGTCGGTTAACTTCAACTGCTAAGTTTCTTGTTAAAAACAACTACTACTAGAACTATTACTGCTACTTCTAGCACTGTTGCTAGCTGGGATGCTAATGACTACACTAGATTTCTAATGTTTTCACCTATTACTAAGTTGTTTTTGCTGTGGAATAAAAATAGTGTTTATACAGTTTTACTGCCAATAAGCTGTAACATCAGTTATCATCATCACATTATCATCATCACATATTTGGTGAAGTTGAATATGTGGGCCCCACGGCTCTGATATAAACAGGTACAATGCAAACATGTTGTGCAGAAAAAATAATGTACAAATGAACAAGAATAAGCAAAAGAGAAAGAAGATCATCATCAATATCTAATCTTTAGATACTTTAGAAATCAGTTAAAAAATCAAGTAACATCTCTATGGCTAATGTTGTCACACCACAAAAACTAACTTCCCCCCTGGACATATCTTAGGCCAGAACAAATTGGCTGGAATGTTAGAACTCTCTATGATAAAGGGAGAACAATGGAAGTAGCAAAGGAAATGAAACATTATAGAATTAGTATTTTAGGGTTATGTGAAACTAGATGGAATGGGGCAGGAAAAAGTATTCTAAATTCAGGGGAAACTATTTTGTTCTCAGGACACACAGAGGAAAATTCGCCCCACAGAAAAGGAGTGGCCCTGATGCTATCGAAAGAAGCAGACAGGGCACTAATAGAATAGGAAGCTGTGAGTCCCGGAATAATAAGAGCATCTTATAGAACAGTGAAACAGAAGGTGAACATGTCGGTAATACAGTGTTATGCACCAACAAATGATAAAGATGCATATGTTAAGGAAGAATTTTACATGCAGCTTCAAAATGTTATATATAAATATATGTAGATAAAGATGGAGGAACTGATAGAGATATTAAAATAAGAATACAAAAGGCAAGAGGAGCATTCATAGCACTAGGGAATTTCTGGAGGTCAAAAGAAATTAAAAGAAATACTAAATTAAAAATTTTTAATTCTAATATCAAATCAGTTCTTTTGTATGGGGCGGAAACATGGAGAACAACTAAGGCAACTACTAATAAACTACAAACATTAATTAACTGGTGACTGCGCAGAATAGAAGGAATTAAATGGTATGATAGAATAACTAATGTAGAACTTTGGGAGAGAACTAAACAGGCTCCAGTGGACCAAGAGGTGAGGAAAAGATGCTTGTGTTGGATAGGACACACACTGAGAAAACAGGAGAACAGCATAACTAGAATGTCTTTGCACTGGAACCCACAGGGGCATAGGAATAAAGGAAGGCCAAAAAACACATGGAGAAGAGAGCTGGAGAATGAAGTCAGAAAGATGGGGAGGACATGGGGAGAGCTCCATGCAATGGTGAAGGATAGAACGACTTGGCTTGAGTTGGTTGAGGACCTATGCTCCATTGGGGGATAGAAAGGCAGAAGAAGAATAGGACTGGCATTATTAACCGGGGGACTCTAATGAATATAGTGAAGGGAGAATATGAATACCTATAGAGTGCCCAGAGTGCTGTGAAGATAGCCTAATTCATAATTCACAACCCTTCTGATCTGCAAGCTTCTCAACATGCTTTGTTCCTAATGTATTGCTGTTACCTTCTCTTTGGAGTAAACAAGGCTGGCTAAGAGATAATGCGGCACTGGTAACACATGGTTTCTACAATAATGCCCTACTCTTTGCCATACTTGGGATTCTTCCGAATCTATTTTTCACAATACATTATTGACCGAGTGGTTATAATGAGTGACAGTCAACCCCACCAGCACCGCACAATGTCTGATTACACCTGGTGATAACGTGCCACCATTGGTACAAGAATCCCTCAGGCACAAGTCCCTGAAGCCCCGTTCAATCATTTAGTTTACATTAGGGCTCCCAACGATAGCTGGAGTGGGGCTTTTAGACAATCAAAAATTGCGTCCTACAATGGGATAGAGTTGTACCCAATTATAATAAAATCTTAGATTTGGTAAGTTTGAAAACAACACAGAAATATGTTTCATTATTTTTTAAATTTAGAAATAAACTTCAATCACTCACCATCAAATCCATCAAATCCGTTATTGCCAGGCAGGCCTTTTATTCCAGCTCCTCCAAGGCTTGATTCTCCTTTAGCACCCTTTGATCCCGATAAACCTGGCAGACCATCATCTCCCATAATGCCTCTTATCCCAGGATTGCCTTGTCTGCCAGGAATGCCATCATCCCCAGGAGCCCCTGGTCGACCTGCTCCCACACACACACAAATAATTTTGTTCGCAATTTAATCGCAGAAAAAGAATAATAATGCAGCACTTTAAAACAATAAAATTTAAATATAACATTGATAAATAATTTCAATTAACTCATTTAGTCAAAATCAACTCACCATGCATTTATTGATAAATCCATACTTGAAATGACTTTTCTAAATTCTTTGCTCCGCAGGTAGCTGTTTTAATTACTTGTGGTAACCTAAATGTTACTTTAACCCTTCTGGTGCCTAACTGTGACTGATTTAACCCCTCTGGATCTTAACAACTAATACTCTATGTAATAAATACTTAGGAATCAACATGTTAAGTGATACCGCCTGGGACGGAAAGAGTTAAAAAGACTAATTACAAAAGGTGAAGGTTCATTGTGTGGGTTTTGGAGATCCATTTTTGGTAAAGAAAAGAACCAACCCACTGGTGATGGTACTCACCACAAAGCATATAATTCCAGTATACCCACCCATATTAGATTGCGGGAGAACCATTTTGTGGTGCCCAGTTTAACTGTCTGAAATGGCTATTTCGTTAAACAAGGTTTCTGGGATATGTACCTGTTTGATTCTCATCTTTTAGATGTTAATCTTAGAGACTGCAATCCTGGAAGTGAAAAACTTAGACAAAAAGATTCCTTAGAAAAAAAAAGAAAGAGGAAAGGTGCCAGTACTGTGTACTGTTGCATACCGTTATAGAAAAGCCCTGATTACACAGCAGGCAGAACATGTATTGAAGAAGTTAAATATAAACAACCTTAAGAAAAACAGCATTCACAGAGTTAGAAATGCAAAATGCTGAATTAAGAATCAACATCACAGCACTTGGGACACTCCCATAAGCGCTCTGTTGCCATCTTCAGCAGCAAGCGAAGAGTTCCAATTTTGATGGTACCAGTAACTGTCTGATTGTACATCCGTCTCACCTTTCCCCAGATCGTTGAGCTTCAGCTAAATCCTCTGGTAACTCTCCGCAGTTCCAATCTCCTCAGACAGTAATGATCTATTTGTGCCTCTGCACTGTTCACTGTAGTCGGCGTCTGTCGCTCAGGCGTTGCAAACGAGCTTCATAATGCAGGGGTGCTGGGTTTGATCCCAGCTGTGGGCTTTGCGCTGATATTAGACAGTGGTATTGAGAAGCCGTCCATCCAGAAAACAATGGCAAACTACTGTATGTAAATTTACCTAGAAAAACCACAACACCCAAAAAAATGCTGGGGTTGGTTCTACAACATCCTGTAAAGGATACACAACTAACTATAACTGCTCACTTGCTCCCAATGAGCCCTCACAAAATCTAACTTGTCATACATCAGTTAACTACCAAGTCATGCAGAGCCAGCCAGTCTATCTGCCTGCTCATTTGCCAGCATGACCTGGAGAAAGTATCCAAAGGACGCTAGCTACCTGGGGCCTCTGGAGCGATGCCTGCCACTCTGCATAGCAGAAATGCAATTTATCTTTGTCGATTAAAAGATATATAGAACCAATCCTGATGTATGGAAGCACATCATGGACAGCCAGTTATTAGTGAGAAATTATGTGGACACGAAAGAGGTGTCGTTTTATAGCCATTCATAATACTTTAAAACTGTTTTCATGGTTTTTGAACAGTTTACGAGAGGTTCATCATAGACAATATTGGAACCTCATTGTAGGGTGCTAAGATGTGAAGTCGCGGATGACCAAGGTTCAGGTACCCATTCTACAGTGGTAAGGACAGACTGAATATAAGGATGAAAGACTCCCAACCTGTAGTGGGTGTAGATGGATGATAGTGGTAGAGGCAGTGGATGAGGAATAATAAATTTAACTTTAATCAATGATGAACAACAGGCCAAGTCTAAGGTAATTTATGTTTTTATCACTGAATAGATGACAGGCCTCCTCAGACCCAGTCTGGAAACCAAATATCTCTAGGACAAATTGTTCAAACTGGAACAGCAAACTAAATGAATGTAACAAAATACAGACTTTTTTCTGTAAATATCTGATCTATGTATAGATGAAACAGTAAATACAGTAATAAATGAGAACGTGGTGTTACAACAAGGGTTTGAATTCAAAATGCAAAATATCAACTCTCTCTCTCTTCTTCAAAATGACAGATTTTCCCAGCACTATCTTTTCAGTGGGAATCTCACTGCTCAATATTTCTAAGTGCAAATATCAGCTGCAGCCATTCTCCACTGGGGGAGATGGCATTATAATTAATGAGATTAAAATTTAACACTTAAGTGAATCCCGTGAAATATCTTACCTGGCAAAGCCGGTTCACCAGCAATACCATCAGGACCCTGTGGGCCAGGATCTCCAGGCTGTCCTTTTTGGCCATTACTACCGTTTTGTCCTGCCAATCCTAATAGTCCTAGTTTTCCCCGCCAACCTTTGACACCTGGTAATCCATAATCTCCTGGTGCACCTGGGAGCCCTGGTTGGCCATATTCACCGGGGATACCTGAAGAGAGAATGAATAAATAAATAAATAAATAAATGAATCAATCAATCAAGAATTCACATCACGGCATTCTTCAATTCTCATATGTGCTCCATCCCCTTCTTCAGTAGCCAGCGAAGAGTTGACATGCTAATAGCACCAGCTGCAACCTGATTAAAATCTACATGTGTGCAATAATTTCACTTGTTGTCTAGTTGGTGTTTAAATATAACTGGTACAAGCCGACACCGACTTAGCCGTACGAAACATCAGTTTATTGGTGTGTTACAACTTACATCTAAGTCCAATCGTTGTCCTAATAAACAGCTCTCACACACCACTTCACGCAGCCTTCAACAAGCAGGTTCCTCACGCATTCATTGACCAGAGTCTGACCCGATGCATTTGGTTGATCTTCTGGACATTACACAGGCTGGCCTGGCTGATCTTGACTTCACACGTCGTCCTCTGGTTCTCCTTTCACAACAAGCAATCTCACGTTGACATTCATACGCTCAGTCTCTCGTCCTTTCGCTCCAACAAGTCGACACAAACTAACTTGATCAGAATCAAGTCTGATTTTATACCACAGGTTAGTTTCACATGGCAACACGTGGTGGTCCTTTACTTCCATGTGGCGAACCTTTGGTCGCGTCATCGTGTTACACGTGATAACTCATGGTCATCACCTATCTCAAAACCCTCGTTTATTCTGAGTATCTGGAATATCTCGGTGTTTTGGGTTATCCTTGGGCCTACCCCCCAACCTTCCTAATGTGGGTGAAAATATCCCCCATTACAATATGTTTCCTCTTCAGTGTTGAATATCTTCAAGAATCTCAACAGACTCCCTGCTAAATTCGTTTTTCAGAGTATGAATTCCCTATCTGTTCTTTTGCACTGTTTATTTGATCCCATAGAGCCTTCACCACATCCCCTATATCATACAGTAGCTCACAAATCACAGAAGCTGCAGCAACTAATCTAATCAATCAGCCTGCTCATTACCTCACACACCTGAACTGAGAAGGTTAACTGTTACTTCTCATTATTACTTAAATTAATGAAGGAATGAACCTGATCACTCACAAGAAACCAGAAAGGAAAATTAGTAACCATGGAACTGAGAAGTCTGAGAAGGGCTGCAGGAGTGACCAGAAGAGGCAACATTGGGAATGAGGTTATCAGAGGACAAGTCGGCACAGAACCGTTTCCCGGGAAGTTAACCTGGTCAACAAAGGTTCAATCAATTCTGGTGTATCAGCCAACAGGCGCAAATTTCACAGCTATGCTGTAAACAACTTCTTCTTTCAAACCTTACTTCTTACTTAATCTCTCCTCTTCTACCTTGGGATCTAGAGGTTTACCAGAGAGATTGCCAGACTTCTCTGTCAGCACTTTTCTTTCTGGCTTTGTTCCAATCCAGTCCTCTGTCAGACAGGGAATGCCGAATGTTGTCTTTCCAGCAGACCCTGGGTTACCCTGGAGGTATAGTTTCCTGGTTCCTAGCCTCCCATGGTGGCCTATTTCTCCCATTCTGCAAACATGTCTAACGTAAATTGCCAAGACTATCCTTGGATAGCTTCATGTCCTTATCAAGCACCATAATGGATTGGGGGGGGGGGGGGGGAAGAGCAGAAGACATTGTACCAAGAAAGCAGACAGGGGCTGACCAGCATAAGATATAAAGGACATCTTAACTCTTTCAGTTCCAGAGGGTTTAGCATCACAGGCCCAAGGGGTAGTCAAAATAGATGTAAAATTGGCCCATCGTGCGTTCATTGGGCTTCTAGGCAGTTACCTATGAACGTATGATGCGTTCCTTGGGACTGAAAGAGAAAGCTGGCAAAAGACCAAGTTTATTTCAGGCAGATGGTGACAACAGCGACTTACTGCAGAAGACCTGCTACATCATGACGATCTTTGGAGCTTTTGATGTTTGTGGTCATTGGCTTCATCTTTAAAAAATTTCTGATATTGTTTTCTTTTTTTGAATAACCGCTAGCTGACAGTCAATTTCAAGTCTGACAATTTGCCATTGGTGGGATAATAGGGATGGGAAATGGGAAATTATAACTGAAATGTATAAGACTGATTCGGAAGTGCACACTTTTTCAACCAGATTTGAAACAACAAACAAGGAACTAACCTGAATCCCCTTGTGTGCCTTTCAGTCCACTTAAGCCACGTTTTCCTGGAAAGCCTTTGTCACCAGGTTCACCTGGGAGCCCAGGCAAACCTTCTTCTCCTTGCTGACCAATAATCCCAGATGAACCTGCCCTGCCGGGAAAACCTGGAAAGCCATCATCACCCTGTGAAATAATAGATTTATTTAAATGTCATAGCTGATTTTGACTTTAGCTTGAAAAAAAAAATAATGTCAAGCTGTCTGACCTTGACCTGGGTTCAAAACAAGGTCAGGGTCTTCTACTTTAGTTACTCTACAGCAATAATGTAGCATTACTAGATTTCTTTA